TCGCGCTGGCTGTCCTCTGAGCGCGGGGTCCAGCCCGACCTCTGCGCGGGGCTCCCAGGCAGAGCCACCTGCCCGGCCTCTTCTCCCTCCGGTTTGCATGAATCATGACGCGGTGCCCGTGGAGCCCGGGCAGGCGCCCAAGCTCTGCGCCCATGTTGACAGTGGTTGCAGTTTCATTCTAGTGCCGTGTGGCTCTGCTGTTAAAGGGCGAGGGCTGTTCAAAAATCTCCACCCGGATGAGGGCGGTTTTGTGTGGGGGCCTCATTCCTGCTGGCTTAGGGCGATTGTTGGGGTAACCCCGCTTACCCCTGTGCCACATCCCTGTTCATTGACCCGCAGATGTGCACGGTCAATCCCCCCCTCCAACCCGCCAGACCCCTGCTGGGTGGTCCCTGCCTCCAGGGAGACAGGCTTGGCGGGAGAGGGGGGAGTGCTGGGGCTTGACAGGTGCTGGGGCCACGGGAGGACCTTTCCTCTTCCGGGACCGCACCCCGGCTGGCTGCTGCTCTCCCTCTCCTCAGATGGGGGGGCATCCCTGGGGGGAGGGGGGTACTCTGGCGTGGCAGGCAGTGCGAGCAACCCCTAGCCCCAGTGATGCCTGGAAATGGGAAGGGTTTGCTGGCTGATTCCCTCTTCTCTGAGCTCCCCAAGGTCTCAAAGGGCCTCATACAGGGGAGCCCAGTGGTCTCAGCAGAGATTCCCACAGTGGAGCCCCGTTATCCTTGTTAACCACGTGACACGGAGGAGGAGGAGTCAAGCCGGGGCTGGAATCAGACAGTGCAGGTGTGGGGCCTGCCGCCGGCATTTATGCCCATGCATGGCCAAGGCCTGGGACCCAGGGAAGGTGGGGGGCCACCATCCTTGTGAAAGGCCCCCTGGTTCTGGAGGCCCGAGGTGCCACTGACCCGGGCACCCTGGGTGCACTTTGCAGGGGAGACCCGCAGACCCCCCCGCCCCCCGTCCTCCGTCACCAGCTTGCCCAGGCATCACAGGGTCCGCACTGTGCCCCCGGCCTTGACGTGCTTGGCACACGCTGAGGTGGGTGTGGTGATGCCATCAGTGCCTGGGAGGGGGGTTGCGGGAAGGCTTCCTGGAGGAAGTGACCTTGGAGCTGCGTTTAAAGATTGGAGGGGAGTTATCGGGAGGTGAGGGGCCCCTGTGGGCCATGCTCCCTGGGGTGGGGGTGGGCTTCGTCTTGGGGGCACAAGGAGCCAGAGGAGGGAGGTGGCAGCCATCTGCTGTAGGTCTGGAGTGCCCTCTCCCAGCACCCAGCCTGCCATGGGGCGGCCTCCAGACCAGGAGGGCTTCTCCCCTTGTGAGGAGCACTTTGGGGCATGCGCAGGGACGTCCTGGTTCCACGTGACACCACGTGCTCACTGCAAGGGCGGCTCAGCACGGGGGATTTGGAGGAAATGGACAGAGCAGTGTGCCCACGCAGACAGGACCTCCCCTGCCAGGAAGCGGCTCGCCCAGCCAGGCCAGCCCGGGGCATCTGGAGTACCCAGCCAGCCACGGACCCAGCCCCAGGGACGCCCGGCGACCTTTTGACCTCAGGCCACAGACGTCATGCTGTGGACAACCTTCCTGGCGTGACCTGGGTGGAGCCGGAGGAAGTGCCTCTCCTGTGGGTCCAGGGCCAAGGAGGGAGGAGAGCTAATCCCCGAGGACTTTGTGGTGTAGAGTGGCCCCGGGCTGGGCTTTGGGGTTCCTGCCTGCATGCACACACATGCACGCACACACCCACACATGCACAAGTGCTCGTCTCGTCCCCACACACGTGCATGCATGCACACACACACACAGGCGCTCATCTTGTCCCTACACACATGCACATACACACACAAGTGCTCGTCTCGTCCCCACACACATGCACACACACACCCACACACGCACAGGTGTTCCTCCCCACACACATGCATGTGCACATGCACACACACAGCTGCTCATCTTGTCCCCACTCACATGCATGCACACACACATACATACATGTGCCCCTCCCACACACATGCATGCACACACAAGTGTTCGTCTCGTCCCCACACACATGCATGCACATGCATGCACATGCACACACACAGGTGCTCATCTTGTCCCCACACACATGCATGCACATGCACACACACAGGTGCTCATCTTGTCCCCACACACATGCATGCACATGCACACACACACAAGTGCTCATCCCCACACACATGCACACACACACATAGCACACACCCACACACGCACAGGTGCCTCACTCACCCTCCAGGCTACAGGGAGTATTTTTGTCACCCGCTGTGGGCAGCTCTTCCCAGGTTTCACCCGCCTCACCCTCTGCCTGCTCGCCTGTTTGTTCAGGGGGCTCTGGAGCCGCTCACCCAGGCCATGAGCCCATGTGGCACTGTCTGCCGTGGCTCCAGGCCTTGGTCTGTCCATGGCTCTCCCTTCCAAAGGGGTTGCGGGAGGTACCTCCCTTGAGGCCTGATCTCCCAGGCTGGATTAGAGGCCCCTGGCTTCCTCCCGTGGGCCCTGGGGCTGTGGACCCCTGAAAGCAGTCCATGCCCCTGTCCCGTTGCCTGGTACCGGCCCGCTCCCAGCTCCTGGTGGAGTGTAGCAGAGGGCCGGGGGCACCACAGCCAGGTCGGAGCCTGCATGTTGCTGGTGCCCTCCAGCCTCCTCAGCTGCCCCGGGCGCCTGCGCTGTGCTGGGTGCAGGGGACCCAGAAGGCCCCTTCGGCCTCTGTCCCACGGAGGCTGGAGTTGTTGGGTATGGAGTGCAGCTCCCGCTCATGCTCAGACTTGCAATCTGGCAGCAGGAGGTGTTCCTGCCTCCTTGGGCCTCAGTTTTCCCATCTGCAGGATGGGGTGTTGGACAGGCTGGTTCTATGATCCATGCCAGCTCTGCCCCCGCTTGGCTGCTTGCTCCTGGAGGTGGGCGTGTGTCTGGTCTGCCGTCCTGCTTGGCTGGCGCCTCCAGGGCAGGGGCGAGTGCTGTGTCAGGGAGCCGACCCTCCACGGGGCTGGCGGGGCCGGCGGGCCGGCGGGGCCGGAGGGAGGGAGCCAGCTCATCTCCAGGCTCCAGGCTGAGAGGCCTGTTTTCTCCTTCCAGCTGAGCAAGGATCCCCCGCCCCCACCACCACCACCACGTTTATTTAAAATTTCACTTTTGCAGAGGAGGCGGGGAAACGAGGCCTGCTTCTCTCGCTGCCCCTCCCCGAGGAACCCCAGAACTGCTGTCTTGTTGCAGCTCGGCCAGGATCAGCGCCGGGCCAGCCCTCGTTCATGCCCCGTAGGCTGACCCACTGCGGTATCGATCACGCTGATGGGCTTGGCACCGCGGAGGCTTGTGGCGCTGGCGCGAGTCCCTCTGGAGGGAGCTGCTTCGAGGGCTGCCTTTGATTGGCGATGAGTGTGATCCGTTAGAACGGTGGGTCAGCGTGTCTCAGCTAGGCCTGCGGGGGTTCGAGCTCGCCACCCCCGTCGCGGCCGTGGTTGCTGCTCGGCCTTCTGACGGTTCCCTGCCTCCGCCCACCCGTCACCACCGCTCCGGGCCTGACCAGGCCCACTGCCAGGGACTTGCTGCCGCCCAGACCCCTGCACCTGGCACTCAGGCCCTCCTAGGCCTGGCCTCCCCCATGACCAGCCCTTCATTCGTTCAGTTGTTTGTTCAGTCCGCAGACTCGGGCATCTTCCGGGCTCCAGCCTTGGG